AATAATTAAAAAATATTGCTAACTTCGGAAAAAAAAAACGCAAATTTTTTATTTAAAAAAAGTGAAAAAAACCACAAAAAAAAAAAAAAAAAAAAAGTCTGAATTTTTTTTTTTTTTTTTTGTTTTTTTTTTTTTTTTTTTTTTTTTTTTTTTTTTTCTCTCTCTCTCTCTATCTTTCTTTCTTAACAACAAAAAGACCTGGTAATTATTACTATAACAATAATAAAAAATTAATAGATGTTAGACCATTATTGATGATGATTCGTTATATTATATTGATTATTTTCCTTTAATCATATTTGCAACAACGTGTTGAAAACCGATATTTTTATTCCTACGTAATTACGGATTCATCATCATCATCAATATCATCAATATCAATTTTTTTTTCTAATCAAGTTCATTGTATCTAAAGACTGATATATCCCTCATTTAACGACAGACGTAAGGCTCCTCGTACGATTCAAATCGAGAGAATACAAAAAAAAAAAAAAAATACAATAAAAAAAAAAAAAAAAAAAAAAAAAAAAAAAAAAAAAAAAAAAAAAAAAAAAAAAAAAAAAAAAAAACCTATACCCTCGATAATGAAACCAACAACGGACTTTGCTCTCCAAATGCCTTCACATACTCCTTCCATTCATCATAATCATCAAACAATATCTCGAAAAAATAAACATAGTTATTCAAGTAATAATAATTTCATTTCGGATAAATCTGAACATTTATACCAACTTCAATTGCAACGTCAACAACAACAACAATTTTATGATCAACCAAAAGATATTTCAATACCAATTTACGAGGATCATTTCAGTTATATACAAGGTAGTTGCAATTCTTCAAGAGATTCTGATAGGCAGATGACGGCGACGATAAATAAGCATACTCCAAATACTCCACGATTAAAGCATCACCCTCAACCTCAATTATACCAGTCCCCAAATTTATATAGATTATCCTTGCAATTAACGACTGAGCTAGATATACATAAATGGTGGGATAACGTAATCGATATTTTCACTTCTTCTTATCATGCTACGAGGATTTTATTATCGGTACCCCATGATTTAACTGATACTATAAATACTCCTTGGGGCGTAAAAGCTATATATAATAAAGACTCTTGTTGTCAAAATAATACTTGTTATTCAGAAAGTGCTACTGATAGTTGCTCTTCTGCGTCGAGTGATACTGGACATCCGGTATTTGAAAATTTAAAAAGATTCGATTGTGATTCTGAACCTTTAGTGGATAATGCTGGTATTCTTAGAATTTTACGTTGTGGAAAAATTATCGTCTTATCTAGAGAGTATAGATTACCGGGTGATGATACTACTCCAACTAATAATAAAATTAATAATTTTACTAATTCAACATCAACATCAACAATTAATGAGGTAAAAAATAATAATTCAAGATCAAAAATTCGTAAAAATTTACGATCAACTGACAATAAAGGTACTATTCAAAAAAATCTTGATTGGGATAATTTTAAAGAAAATCATTTTAATAATGAACAAGGCTCGTCGTCATGGGCGGGGGTACTGGATACTCCTTGTTTAAATGATTTAGAAGAAGGTCAGGGTAGTTATTTTCAAGATGATGAAAAATCTTCAAGTTATTATCCTAGGTTATCTGATTATGAAGAATTCGAACAACAACAACCTTCTCCTTGGTCTCAGTCTCCTGCTCCATCTCCTGCTGTAACTGATCCAAACTTTAACCCTTTCTTTCAAGCTATACCTGAAATTGATGAAGATGCTTTTAATCCTTCGTCGTCAAGTTCTTCATCTCCTGAACTTTATTCTTCACGTAACTTTAATTATCCAACCGTCAATGATAACAATGTTTATTCCATTGTACATATTCCTTTAATTCATCCTACCACTGTTAAAAAAAATGTGGCTCCTACAAATTCAAATCATGCTCCTGTACCTATAGCAATTTTATCTTTTCTTTCATGTATTGTACCTTATCCACCGGATTTACTTAAATCTTTAAAAGGTTTAGCTCCGTTCTTGGCAACAACTTTATCAGTTTCAATGATACATCAACAATCTGTCATCCAATTATCTCGTGCAACTCCTACTAGAGATTTTAATTCACAAAGACGTCGTAGTAGTCAATTTTCTAATGTAATTCCTACTACACTTTCTGCTGGTTCTTTTGGCGCTGATGATGAATTTAGTTTATCATCTGGTGAATGTTCAACTGCATCATCAAATGCTTCAAAATGGGAATATACTACGGTCTTCCCTCCTTCTTATGACCGTAGTCCAAGTTTAAATTCAGATAATGAAACAAATCCATTTAGTAATATACAAGATTTCACAAAGTCTGATGATTATGAATTTACTCCGGTTTCTGATGCTACACCTTTAACAATGGGCTCACGTTCTCTTCCATCTAATTTGACGGCATCACAACGTACGATGAAAAATCGTAGAATTTCTTTACCAGCAGATACTAATTCTTGGCATCGTAAAAGACGTCGATCGAAACGTTCTTCAAGAAAATCGAATCCTTCAGGTAATTATTATAATAATTAAAATCTGAAATAATTTAATATATATTATTATAGATAATAATTTAAAATTTTCTAGGTGATATTCTAAATACTAAAATGCTTCGTTTGATGGTGGATCTTATGCCAAGCGCTGTCTAGTATGTATACTTTCTACTATATTTACTATATTTACTATATTTGCTATATATATATATTTATTTATTTATTTATATATATATATGCTTATTTTTATTAATTATTATCTTATTTTTGATAATGTAGTACTTGTTCCCCTGAAACTGGTGATTGTACCTGGGTAAATATGCGACTATTAAAATATACTGGACTTAACTTAGAAGATTTACTTGGGCGTGGGTGGATAGATGTTATACATCCTGATGATCGAGATAGTGTTTTAGAAATGTGGAATACTACATTTTCCCGTGGAGAAGGATCAAGCGCTGATTATCGTATGAGAAGATTTGATGGACAATACCGTTGGTTCCTTGGTCGTGCTGGTCCATTACGTGACGCTAGAGGTGTAAACATTCGTTGGTTTGGAACTTGTATTGATATTCATGATCAAAAATTGGCGGAACAACGCCAAAGTAGACAACTTCATATAGAAGCTAATGAAAAAAAATATAGACTCCTTGCAGAAGCAATACCTCAAATAGTATTCACTGCTACACCTAAAGATGGTATAACATATGTAAATAATAAATGGTTTGCTTATTCCGGTCAAACCGAAGAACAGGCAAAAAATTTAGGATTTTTATCACACGTTCATCCGGATGATCGTGCGATTTGTCGTTTACCAGAAGATTCTCAGTTTGATACAGAAATGGGTTATTCGATTGAAGTTCGTCTGTTGCAAAGTGATGGAAAATACAAGTGGTATTTAATAAATTGTATTAGTGTTGAAGTCTCTGAACAAGGCCGCAAATGGTTGGGTACTTGGTATGCATCCTTGTTTTTTTTTTTTTTTTTTTTTTTTTTTTTTTGATAATAACTTTCTTAAATATCTTAAATATTATATAATTAATTATGGAATGTAATCTGTTTTTTATTTTTATAGCACTGATATAAATGAACATAAAGTATTTGAGCAAAAACTTAAGGAAGCTCATGATGCAGCTATAAAGTCAAGGGAAAGTAAAACAAGATTTCTGTCCAACATGTCGCACGGTAATTATTATTATTTTATTTATTAATTTTTTTAAAACAAGAAAATCAACTTTTATCTCTTATTATTAGAAATTCGCACGCCGTTGATTGGTATTACTGGTATGATTAATTTCATGCTAGCAACCAGTTTAACAACAGAACAACTTGATTACGCGCACACAATTCAACAATCTGCTGATGCATTGCTTTTGGTCATAAATGATATATTGGATCTGAGTAAAGTTGAGGCTGGAATGATGAAATTGGAGGTGGAGCCTTTTTCACTTCATAATATGATCGAGGATACAAATGAATTGCTTTCAACATTGGCAATACAGAAAGGTCTTGAGCTAAGCTTTATAGTAGATGATAATGTTCCAAACGTAGTGTGTGGAGACAGAATAAGGCTACGTCAGGTCTTGTTAAACGTTATAGGGGTAAGCCATAAATATATAAACATAATAATATATATGTTATTCTTTTTTACTTAGCTACTTTTTTTTGCCCAATCCACATAGAATGCAATAAAGTTCACCACGAAAGGAGAAGTTTTTTCACGTTGTTCTATAAATTCGGAAGAATCTGAAAATGAAATAATATTATTGTTTGAGGTTATTGATACTGGTGACGGATTTGACTCTGAAGAAGAGGCCGTTATGTTTAAGCCATTCTCTCAGGTGGATACTTCCGTGAGTTAAACAACTTTTCATAAATTTATAAATTTATAAATTTATACTAGTGATTTAAATTCTTTCGACTAATATGTATAAATATATTTTTTTTTCTAAAAAAAAATTCAGTCAACGCGGAAACATGGAGGCAGTGGACTTGGATTGGTCATATCCAGGCAATTAATAGAACTGCATGGAGGCAAAATGTTTTGTAAAAGTAAAAAAGGTTCTGGATCAACGTTTTTTTTTACAGCCAAATTCAAAATACCACCCGATTCCACAGACCCTCGTCCATCAACGCCAACTTCTGAAGAGTTTAATCCATTTCTACGGAGTAGCAAGATTGCAGTGCAATCAAAATCTATGGAGCAGAGTGATTTGAATTCCCCACCTACTTCAAATTCAACAAATTCAACACAGTCATCATTAACAAATCCATCTTCCACGTCAACTACCAGTCAAAGTTCCGATCTTTCAATTTCACTTTCAGATCCATCTAATTATATAGATTCTAATAATACTTATTATGATTCATCACTTTCTGAGTCACCTTCAAGTGTATCATCACCGAGACCCTTATCACCAAACATTTCAAGGCCTTCTACCCCGTCATCCAAGTTCCTAAAACATGTTAATTTGCTCCATCCTGTTTGTGTTCTTATAGTGGCTGATCTGCCCAAATCTCGTGAAACTTTAGTA